TAAGGAAACTTGCCTAAGATTTCGCTTGGCTCAGGAATCGAACCCGGGTCCTCTCGCTTGCGAGGCAAGTGCACTAACCAATAACCTAAAGTGTGAAAGGTTTCTGCTGCCATGAAGGTAAGGCAGCGAAGGAAAGCAGACTTGGTCAGAGCCTGGATAGAAAGGTTTAAAGGAGAATCGAGGGTTAAACAAAATGCCAAGGTTCTGGTGGAGTGAGCAACTGGAGAGGTTGATACAGTTAGTGATTGAAGTGAAAATGGGAACTGAACATGATGATAATAATAATAATCCTTGCATTTGATATAGCTCCTTGTCATGTCTTCAAGACGTCTCAAAGTGCTTCACAGAATATACTGTAAAGTGAATTGATTGTATATTTTGTGGGTGAAACGCAGCAACCAATTGCACACAGCAGTGTCCCACAAACAATCGTGGATTGAGTGACCAATTTTTTTATATATGGAATTATTATTATTCAAATTCAAGATCCTCATCCTCACCTACAAGACCATTCATGGCCTCGCTCCCTCCTACCTCTCCGACCTACTATCCCCCTATCTACCTACCCGTACCCTCGGTTCCTCTGGCTCCGGTCTGCTCCACATCCCCCGCCCCAACCGCCCTACCATCGGTGGCCGGGCCTTCAACCTCTCAGCCCCTAGGCTCTGGAACTCTATCCCCCAGTCCCTTCGCCTTACCTCCGCCCTTTCCTCCTTCAAGGCCGGTCTCAAGACCTTTCTCTTTGACCGTGCCTTCAGCTCCCCTCTCGACTCTCTTCCCCCTCCTCACCCCCTCCCTTCCCTCCCCTCACCCTGACCATTTCGCCCCTGCTCGGGTCCTGACCCAACTGTCCAGCGCTTTGGGACGTCCTCCCGACGTGAAAGGTGCTCTATAAATGGAATTTTGTTGTTGTTGTTGTTGTTACAACTGGAAAAGCGATCCGCCAATCAACTAATAACTGGATTCCTACTTACTGCTGGGTAAACAGAGGCATGTGGAATAAGGAAACTTGCCCAACATTTCCCCCTACCTGGAATCAAACCCATGATAGCCTTGGTTTTGTCGACATTAAATTGGAGAAAGTTTAGACTGATCCAGGATTCGATGTCTGACAAGCAGAAGTGGAATTTCTTGGGATTTATGGTCACAATATGATTACATTAACTTATTTATTTTTTCATTCGCAACTCACATTTTCTGGTTTGGACGTGAATATTGTCTTAAGGACTGACCTGGTCAAATCCACATTTTGTTTCTTATTGGCTGCAAGAGAAGCCTGTAAATAAATTGCTTCCAACATGCAAAACAGATGGTGGGAGTTGGAACAAAATGCAATTTTGGTCATCACAACATGAGGGGAGGTTATCCAGGCCCTAGAGACAGTGCAGAGGAATGCAGCAAGGCTGCTCCTCAATGTAAGAGAAATGAGCTATGAAGAATGATTGGACCCAGTATAAGGTTTGCAGATGACACCAAGTTGGAAGCAACTGTGGATTCAGAGCAAGCAGCAAAGGTCTTATAAAGAGAGCTTGAAAGGGTATGCATATGGACTGATAGGTGGTAAATTAAGTTTAATATAGGTAAATGCAAGATTTTCGTATTGGAAGAAAGAATAGGAAACAGTTTTTATTCAATGGATGTGATAGAATTTGCTCAGAGGAAGCTGAAAAAGAACTAGTTTGACTGCACCTTTGGTCCCCCTTTTACCCCTACCCTCCCTGCACTGCACCTCTCCTGATTCCAACCCCCAGCTTGGGTCCAAAACGCTATTGTCCAGCGCCTTGGGACGTCCTCCCAATGTGAAAGACGCCATATAAATCTAATTTGTTGCAGTTGCCCTGGTCAGGCCGCACGTAAAGTACTTATATGCTTCCAGTCATCACAACATAAGGGGGCCGTCCAGGACCTAGAAGCAGTGGAAAAGAGAGCAACAAGCATGCTCCCCCAGTATTAGAGGAATAGCTATAAGCAGCGTTTGGACAAGTTAGGGTTCTTCATTCTAGAGAGGAGACATCACAGAGGGGACCTTATAGAAGTGTATATAATTTTAAATAGGATTAAAAACAAACAACAGAACAACACTTTGGGATACATCAAGATGGCAGATCAAAACAACATAGATTTAGAATTGCAAAGGTCAATATCAGGATAGACACCGAAAGCTATTTATTTACCTAAAGGATATTTATTGACTGGACTAGGGTGCCAGGAAAATTGCTTGAGGCATGTCAACTCATTTATTGACAGCTTGATGCTGTGATGGGAGGAAAGGTAGGGTGGATATTCTGGAAGGATGAGATCAAAATGATCTGGGCAATTTGAAGGGAAATTTTAAGTCACACCCATTGAAGTGTTTATTTACAAAGATGGAATGAATGGGTGGAACAAATTACCAGGACGGTTGGTTGAGGCCAGTACACTCGATTCATTTAAGAAACATCTTGATGTTTCAAGGGAGAAAATGGTGTGATTGATATTCTGGAAGCTTGAGATCAAAAGGACTGAAGGACCATTTTCATTCAAACATCTCTTGTGATAACTCTGGAACCTGTATATCAATTCAGCTTCAACAGATAGAGTGAAAGTCTCCAATTTCAGACAGCTGTTTAGTGTTTCAAGTTAAGGGAGTTACAAAAAATTGAATCCAATTCCCAATGGGCCTAAGTCCACTGCAAAAAGAATTGTCCATAACTCAGAATTAATTGGCATAATTCCCCTTACAGTCTCTTTGACCTTCAGGCAGCAGCATAGGCTACAAGGATGAATGTTATGGGAAAGGCATATTTCACATTGATAGACCAGGAAATGTTCAAAACTTGCAAAGCATCTCTGGAGAGTGGTTGCAGTTGAGATGTGCAAGACTGTTAAAGACTAGGCCTAAAAGGACACACCTTTTCAAAAAGATGGTGGAATAAAGAAAATTGGCCATTTTAAAAATAGCTTTCTGCTTTAAAATCTGCCTCAAACCCTCCACCTTCCCTTCTCTTCAACCATCTTCAGATCACACCTGAAGATTTTCTGCTTTGACCGGGCCTTTGGTCACCTCCCCTTTCTCTCTGGCTCAATGTCAAGCTATGTCTCTGAAAAGCCACCCTGCTTGAAAGACATTATATAAATGCAACTGTTGTTGTAATCAAGGAGACTTTTTCTGAAATAATACATACTACAAGGCAACTGAAATTAATCTTCATTTTGTATGGTCTTGTAGGCCACTTTATAAAGTGTACAGATGTAACAATTTCAAAGGGTCTTATTAATCCAAACAGGTTCTTGTGATCTTTTGAACTACCCCTATCAGAAAGTTGCACCCTAATCACCAAATCCGGGACAGAATTCAATCTTATTAGATCTAAATAGATCTTAGATATGATTTAAATAGAGCATGTTGTGTACTAATGATTTAAACAAAATAAACCATTCATCTTGTAGCTGCATATACAATAACAGCAACAACAAATTACACTTGAATAGTGCCCTTCACGTCGGAAAGACGTACGAGGTTCGGCTATGAATAGAGTGAGCGACATACACTGTAGCATGAAACAAATCAGGTGTTATGAGGTGTAGGGTAACAGATTAAATAAACAACAGCTAGAGGTAGTCAGGAAAAAATGCTTATGTGAATTTGGCAAAACAGAAATTGGAAGAACAAACTACTAGAGAACAAAAATCTCCTCAGCAACTATGAAAAAGCCACTGAGCTTCAGGTAATAATCCATATCTATTTTGCGGCATCTTTCATTTTAATTCCTATAATTTTTACACTGGTTTAATTTTTCCACAAGCTGCCCAAAACCCAGGCTTGTCTGCTTTGTAATGTTAAAAAGTTAGTGGCAATTCACAAGAATGATTATTTACTAGAGGGCAAAAATATTTTGATTCGATTTATTTTGCCAATAAAAATTAAACCTAACTGATAAATATCCTTTCACTGCTCATTCAAAGAACAGTAGAGATATTATGAGATGTTAAACCGGGATCCTGTTGAAGTGGATGGTAAAGATCCCATTCTATTTCCCCCTTTGTGCTGGCTAACAACCCTCCAGATAAATTGATCACTCACCCGGAAGTTTGGGGAATACAGAATTACATAGAAATTGCAGCAAAGAAACAGGTTATTCAGCCCAACAAATCGATGCCAGTGTTTATAATTCACATGAGCCATCACCCCTTCTGATCTGCTCTGTCCTACCTCAGTATTCCCTTCTCCTTCTTGCATGCATCATTTCCTCTTAAATGCATTGATACTTTCTGATTCAGTAACAGCCTCCAGCAGTGAGTTCCACATTTTCACACCCTTTGTCTACAAAAATTGCTCTTAAACTCCCTTTTAAATCTGCTTCTAGTTATCGTATATTTATTCCCTATATCCTGGACTCGCCAACAAATGGAAACAGTCTATTGACATTGTTTAGCACAAATTGGTTGATGGGTTTAGCTATAAATACATGGTTGCTAAGGTAAAGGCGTCAATCCTTTCATTTGCATCTTTCTAACTTCGAAGTGCATATGGTCAAATGTGTGTCTTTATATTTGACTTGTTCTGAACTTCAGGGTGAGTAAAAGTAGTAATTCAAACATAATGAACACAAATAAACTGGCGCATATTAAGGGAGGATTCGTACGTTTGGATAAATGTTTTTAAAAATCGTACATATGAAGCTTTATATTTTTTTGAAAATAATTAATTACCCTTTGACTTTTTTGTGAATATGGCCAAGTAATGATGAAATCCTTCCATGATTACATTATCAAACCTTCGGAATGAAGAAGAGGCAAGGCAGGGACCAATAACCCTTCTTAAGAAATAATAATAATCCTTGCATTCGATATAGCAGCTATCACAGGACCTTACAAATTCCATTCTTAACTATTGTTTCTCAGCTCCATTTATATCCAAAATCTCCAATGCTAAAGGGGAAAAATGCTCAGTAGATTCAGTTTGATACTGATCAAAGCTCTCAGTGTATAGCAGATCATGGAAATATGTGAAAACTTACGACACAAAAGCAGGGATGTCCTCCGCGTTCTTGAAACGACCAGACCACAGAAGGATCCTTTTGTCAAATTGACTGGGTCTGTGGCCTGGCACTTTCTGGGTGTAACGAACTTCAAGAAACACAAAGAAAGTTCATATCAATACAATACTTGCTTGAAGTTAATGGGGCTACTTTAAAGGTTTTTTTTAATAAAAGAATAGCTCATCTTTATTCTGCTTCACATGTAGCCCCAGCAAAATTATATACATTTCAATGCATAGATACCTATGCCATGACTTTAATGTTTTTTTCCAATAGTCCAAATTGTAGGTTACAATAGACAAAATAGCAGCAGAATGCAAGTCAATGCTGCACCCAAAAAACATCCATGGGTTTATTCATACTCCATTGGCCTAGTATTTCATCTGAATATTTACACTACTTTCCAACAATTAAATAGGACAGAGACCTCCTGTATTGAACTATTTTGGATGTGATTTACATAGGAGAACAAGGAGGTGGATATCTCAATTAATGGCACATTTAAAACACAGTCATATTTAAGGGCTAACCTTATAGACAATCAGAAGTAGGGGGGAGGGGGAGGTTCCTCACCATCAATTTCAATTGAAATTCAATGGTCAATTTCAAAATTCTTTGGAAAAGTACACACTTTGACATGTTTGAATGACTTCAGCTTTGAACATTTCATTGCATTCAGAAAATTGGGTGACACTCATGGCTTAAGAAGGTTACAATATTTTGAATGCCAAGATTCCAAAGGTTGCACCATGATTTTAAATGAGACTCAAGCCCAAAACGCTCAAGAAAATCATATCTTCACCATTGCTTGTGGGAGCACCAAGCCATTCTTTTTTAATATCAGAAGTTTTTTTTCTGGTTGAACTAACTGTGCTGGACTCATTCATGGTTAAGGGAGAAAGGTTAATTATAAAGAGAAGTTCATTCCATTGTAAGAGTGTGTATGTATAAATCAAACATGATCATCTAAATAGCTACAAAATCAGGAAAATGACTTAGACATCACACAGCAAGTTGTATAAAGGTTGAGCAGATTATGGTCAGCCTTAAGCAGAGTAGCTCATGCTGCAGTTTTGACATTTTGCTGCCCAGAAGTCTGCACAGTTCCAAATCAGAGAAAAGAGAAAATCGCCAAAGTAACGTGCAATGTAATTTGCAACACACAGAAAGCTCTGAACAAACCGAGAAATTAAAGGGTAAATAAACCTTTAAACAAATAGCCGGGGCTTGTAGAATGCACGTAGAAAATGAAGGCATCTAACTAATCCCAGGCAGCGGACCAGATGTGGCTCAAAGTTAATAACAGAGATCACGATTGAAAAGAAATTAAACAGTTTGATCCACAATAACGTCAAGAAGAAAATAAATCATTTCTCTCAAAAGGAATAAACATACTAGCTCTGCACACTGAACTCCAGTGAAATAAAGCCACATTTACCTGTGTGCAACCTTCTGACTCTCTCCAGGAGCAAATTGTTATCGCAACTTTTGGCCTCGGGATTCTTACTGAATAGGTTTCGCTGATCGGATGGTTTAGCCCTGTACAGCCGGCACATCTGACCAGACAGGGCTCGAAACATCTCTGCAGCTAAACAGCTGGACTGTGATCTGGCCAAGAGGAGCTCTCTATATATACAGGACAAGATAGTTTCAACCCATCCTCCCCCCTCCACACACACACCATTAATTCATTAAGGCTGCACTTACATAATAATTCAACTTACTGAGAAGCAATTGAGTAGTAGAAATCATTCACTTATTGGTGTCTTGGATGGTGACCAAATTCAAATAAGGGAAAGCATGTAATGGAAATGTTATACATTTGAAGAAAGATATAGGTACTACAGAGTTTTATTTTGAAGACAAATGGAGAAGGGTTGAGACAGAAGGGTGAGGGAGGAAGTTCCAGAATGTGGGGACATGATGGCTGAAGTCTTGGTGCTGATGGTGGAGTGGAAGAGATGGAGTCCCACAGGCAAGTTCAAGTTTGCCAAGCAGAGAGGGCTGGCAGAAGAGTGAGCCTGGAGAGGATCAGAGAGGATAGAAAGTGCGAGGGCATGAAAGCAAGTGAGGATGAAGATGTTAAAGTCAATTTGCAGCGAGACTGCAGAGCCTGGTGAGGACTTGGTTAGTGTAGGTAAGAAATGAGTCAAGAGTTTTGGTTGAACTGATAATGGAAGCTCAGAGCAGGCTCACAGTTAATTTTTACCCTAGTCTTGCCTTTAGTCCACACATATGCATTTTCCAATAGGAGTCACTGTACCACAATATATCTCAGGCTGTATCCTCAATGTGAGGGATGAAGAAAGCTGAGAATTGAATCAAATGCCAAAGTTATAGAAGAATTATTATAATAATGGTTCAGTGAGTTGGAGAGAGAGGCCTGGAAGGGTAAGGAAGTCAGAGCCAGAAGCAAGGAGGCATTGGCCGGAACTGAGAGGATGGCTTTTGGTCTCGCTCATGTTTTGCTAATTAAAGTTGAGGATCATCCAGGACAGAGGTCTGACAGGCAGGCAGACTGAATATCATGTTTACCTAGAATTAGAGGTAGGAGTAGAAAGGTAGATTTGAATGTCATTTGCATAAATGTGGAAAAGGAGGGGATTGAGTTTACAGCCTGAGATATAGTTGAGCAGAGAATCTAGCAGCGTGAGGAGGGAACTGCGTGAGGTGGAACAAAGTGAGAATTCTGTTAAGGAATTTGGTGAGAGTGGGAATTCTTCAGCAAGAGAGCAAGGGAGAACTCTTTCATTCAGTAGAAGATTGAGGAGGGAGCAGAGCAGGAACAGAGCGAGAATTCTGTTAAGGAATTTGGTGAGAGTGGGAATTTGGTCCAAGTGGGGGAAGGAGGTGCAGGTGAGAACTTGTTTTGATCTCCTTATAAAGGAAAAACAGCACCAGCGAGAAAGCTCAGTGTGGAGCCTTTTCGATAAGATTCCACACAAAAGGCTATTAGCCAATGTGGAAGAGCATGTAGGTAAGCATGTAAGAGCATGTAGAGCAAGGAGGTAACCTTGTGACGTAGCTTGGTAATTGGTTGGGAGGCAGGAAATGGAGGTAGGAATCATTCTCTGATTGGTGGGACGTAACAAATGGTGTCCCCAGGGGTCTGTATTGGGACCCCAGCTATTTGCCATATATAAAATGACTTGGATGAAGGACTAGAAAGTTTTATATCCACGTTTGCAGATGACAATAAGCTCGGAGGCTCAGTAAGTTGCGTAGATGGAAAGTTATGAAGGGATTTAGACAGATTAAGTGAGTGGGCAAAGCTGTGGCAGATGGAGTTCATTGTTCAATGTAGGGAAGTGTGAGGTCATCCACCATGGACCACAAAAATATGAAGCAGAATATTTTCTTAATGAGGAGAAATTAAGAACTGTGGAGGAGCACAGAGATTTGGGTGTCCATATCCACAAATCACTAAAAACTAGTTCCGAGGTGCAAAAAATAATCAAAAGGGGAATAGAATGTTGGCCTTTATCTCAAAGGGCCTGGAATACAAAGAGGACAAAATGATGCTTCAGCTGTTTAGAGCATTAGTCAGACCCCATCTGGAGTACTGCGTTCAGTTTTGGGAACCACACCTCAGGAAAGATATATTGACCCTGGAGGTGTTGCAATGCAGTTTCACCAGAATGTTACCAGGCCTAAAAGGGTTAAGTTATGAGGAAAGGCTGTGTAAACTTGGATTGTATTCCCTTGAGTTTAGAAGGTTGAGGGGTGATTTGATTGAGGTGTTTAACATGATAAAGTGATTTGATAGGGTAGATACAGAGAAGCTATTTCCTCTGGTGGGGGAATCCAAAACAAGCGGCATAGTCTTAATATTAGAACCAAGTCATTTAAGAGTGAAATCAGGAAAAAAAATTCACTCAAAGGGTGGTAGAAATCTGGAATTCTCTCCCACAACAGGCCATGGATGCTGGATCCATCCACACCTTCAAGAGTGAGGTTGATCGATTTTTCGTAGGTCAGGGTATTAAGGCATATGGGGAGAAAGCGGGAAATTAGAATTGAAAGGATTAGTTGAGGTACAGATCAGCCATGATCTAATTAAATGGCAGAACAGACTCGAAGGTCTGAATGGCCTCCTCCTGTTCCTATGTATACTGAGGCATAGTGACTTCTGCTGTAAAATGCATATGTGTGGACTCAGGGCAAGACCAAGATGAGAATTAGCTGAGATCTTCTGCTCTGTCGCTTCCATTGCCAAATAACCTGCCAACATTCACTTACCAGGATCACATGAATAGAATTTTTTGGGGGGTCAGACAGGTGTCTAACACATGCAGAAACCCATCATGGGGTACTGCTTGAGTCTAACCAGCTAAAACTATAAAGCTTGCCATTGATATTGCTGTCTGGCAAGCTTTCCTGCTGCTTGTCCAGCTAGGACTACCCTGGCTGGACAATCCAGTTAGAGCTTTGGCTTGTAGGGTTAACAGGAGCTGAGTGGTATGATTCTCTGCCCCAGTGACTGGTCTGCCCTTCCAGGTCCTGTCAATGAGCCAGGATGGCTGTGCTATCACCAGCAGTGTCCTGGAATACTGCGGGACTGTCTGGCTCAGGAACCAGACAACCAAGAACAGTCACAGAGAACAGCTCAATTCTGACATTCCATTGCCAGGCATGTCACCTTGCAGCCCGTTCAGCTCCAAGAGACCCTGTTTGAAGAATAGAATAACTACTTGGTCAAAATATCAGACAGCAGACACTGCCTCTGGAACAGTACATATTATGAGTTAATGGCTAATGGGGCCTGATATTGCACATAGTCTTAGACTGTAAGATCACTTTCTCTTAGAATTTAAAATTGTGAAGAATTGGGAAATATTCTTAAATTCAGCCTTAATTTAGAAGCTGGTTTTCTGCAGTTATAGCATCAGGGTATTTATTGCATAGATATGTGATTTCTTGAAGGAAAAGTGCACATGAAAAACAGTGAAAGTTAACCCACACAAATTCTGTAGGTATCCTAGCCTTCAAGAGAAGTACTGTTTAAGATGTCAAAGGTGATGGCTTAACTGTCCTTTGCTAATTTTTATGTCTGTTCGTGCAATACATATTTAGATGGGAAGAATTGTAAACCTTGGAAAAAGTTACATATTTATAATAGTTTGGCAATATTTTGTGTTCATTAAGGTGAGATATGTCTTTGAGAATGGAGTAGTTTCCATATTTTCACTCAGTATCAATGGCAATGTAATATAAATTGTAATAGAAATTTACTTTTAGGATGAAAGAGGTATGACCTGAGAGCCAGTTACATAAAATCCAAATAGTTGTGGAGTAATGCTATCATAACAAGGCCTTAAGAAAACACAACAAAGCACTCCTAATGTGAATATTTCCAAAATGTTTCAAACAATAAAGAGAGAGATGCTGGGAATCCACATCAGCTGAAATACGTTAATGTTTCAGGCTTGACACTTCATCAGAGCAATGAGGATAGGAATAAGATAATTGCTCTGTGGTGGGCTCTGGTCTTTAATTATCTACCATCAGATAACTGGTAGTTAATTCTTAGTTGTTGCTGCAAGGGATTCTAGGACTGCCTTAGCATCTCATTGTTTTTCAAACTATTACAGCAAATTACCAGGGCTCAAAGCTAATTTTGAGTTGTGACAGCCCCTCTTGGGAAATGAGTGCAAATTGGTACTCTTGAAACTAGCCTTCTGGTGGTAACCATCTGTAATCCAGTCCCATTGACAAATATAGGGTCCTCCCACCTCCATCCCCCTTGCCCCCCCACCCCTCTTGAATCCAACCCCCAGCTCGGGTGTAAACTCTCAACTTTTCAGCGCTTTGGGAAGTTCTCCTGACATGAAAATTGCTATTTAAATGCAATTTGTTGCTATTGTTTATTCTTCTCCACTAATTAGTAAATGTACTAACCTTGGTGGTGAGAGTGTATTCTTTGCTTGTTGGTGAAGGCTGGAATAACCCCTGTAGTTGCTTCTTCATGTGTCTAAGAACTTATTATAAGTAAAATGCATATTATAGTACCTCGTGGCATGTGTCTTGTGAGAGAGCTAAGATTATATATCAAAAAGGTTGATTTTATGTATTATAGTATTAAATTGTATTAGAAAATGAAAAATTACATTGAAAATCACTTTACATAGATTTTGGACTTGTGAACCTTTAATGTTTTGTTTTTGTTTGAAACAATATTCTTGTCCTCTGGTTGTCAGATTTTAATATGATGATGCACTGAGAAAAACAGCTTTGTCTGAATATGATCAGCTGTTCTTCCCTGTTGCAATGGCACCATCTATTGGTTAAACCTTGAATACAAACCAACAACAACAACAAATTACATTTGTATAATAATAATCCTTGCATTTAATATTGCGCTTTATCATGTCTTTGAGATGTCTCAAACCCCTCACAGAATGTATTGTAAAGTGAATTGACTGTATATTTTGTGGGCGAAACGTGGCAGCCAATTGCACACAGGAGTGTCCCACATACAGTTGGGAATTGAAGTGATGAATTTATTATTTTTTTTTGAAGGAATTATTACCCCTGGAAAATCGATCTGCCAATCGACTGTCAACCAGGTTCCTACTTACTGCTAGGTGAACAGAGGCGTGTGGAGTAAGGAAACTTGCCTAACATTTCGTCCTGGTGGGAATCGAACCCAGGTCTCTCGCTTGCGAGGCG